AAATAGTCCTTCAGAAAGAATAAAACAGGAGAAACGATGTTGATTAGAACAGGAAATTAGACTGAATGGAGGGAAGGTGTGTGATAGGGGACAGAATGACCTATTGAGGATTAATAAAGATCCGAATAATGGGGATCAATGGAATGCAAGAGAATCCGTTAAAATTGATGCCCACGAACGAAGAACCCGACAGATATACGATAGATCCACGAACGAGCAATGATGCTAGTCCATTGATAGCCTAAGAATTACCGAATACAGATGAAGAGGCTGATCCGCCTAGGCTGATGTTCAACACAAAGCACAAAATAATGAAAGTAATAGGCTTGTATCTCGACTTGGTAGGCATCGAGAAAAATTGCCATATGTTTTATCAACGGATCAACTACATGCACAGAAGAGCATAAGAATAGGTGTGAAGAGTAACCGGGTTTCGATTGTTGCACTTCATTTGATAGGAAAGTGCATGAAGAAGAGGTTCGAGGTCGATCTCAGCAGAAGAGGGCAGATTATTCGCGTTGTGCTGCAGCCTTTGGGCTTTAATACGGCTTCCAGGTTGACGTAGTCCACGAGAAATCCTCTCTGGTTTAGGGTGGAAACGGGCTAAGCTTTCGTCCATCATATAATGGACATCATCAGAGCTGGAAGTGATTTTTGTAAAAGTATCACGTCAACACAAGGTCAAAAAGACTAATTTCCTTTGGTTTTAAAATCCATTTTCAGCCAAAATGAGGGAGAATTTCGTGTGGACTGCGTTAACTTGAACGTCGTACTAAAGTCAAACGGCTGCAGTAAAACGGGAATCAGCTATCTTCTTCTAGTGAGATCGGCCTCGAGTCACTTCTTCATGCACTTTCATACGAAATGAAAGTCTCTCCAACAGCATACTAATAATAGTTACAATCTACAAATTAGTTATTCAATCATTTTAGGAACAGAGACACTCTCGGCTTTGCTTAAGATCATGCAACGAGAAGACCATGTGCTGGAAGCGGAGCGGATCCGGAAAAGATATTTAACATGGCCGATAAATTTGACACTCACAGCCACCTACTTCGCATTCAGCAGGAATATCTATGTGAAGAAAAGTTGGGTTTCGAGGATTCTCTTGTTGCATAATTGTTGAGCTTACTTTCATTTCGAGTGAAAGTGTTGGGTGAAGAGATTCGAAGGTCAGTTCCAACAGAAAATGACGGCGGATTCCTCTTGACCAGCTGTCGATTGGATTTATTCACCGGAAAACTCACCGGCAAATCCATAAAAAGTGGTATATATACTCTATATCTGACCCCTTAGATCAGGTATAAAGAGATTTGGTTAGTTAAGATCATTTTTTAACTTTGATGCATGTGAGTGTGTCTGTCTCTATATGTGTATGCGTCTGTTTGTGTTCGCTTATGCACGAAACCGGGAATGATGGCTCAAAATAATTAGGACAGCAAAAAGGAACGCCTGTCTATGGCCATCAAGGTTTAATGAACCCTATCTCCCCTTTCTACATTTAAGTTATAACTCGTCTGGTTTTGTTGATGAGCCTATTTTTTGTTTTTGTTCTCAATGCGAGAGAGAAAGAGTTAGCTAAAAGTACAGAGAAGTGACTATCTATGACAAATATTTGTACGATCTCCATCTTTTGCCAAACGCATACATGAACAAATTAGAAGAGGAATTCTGGGTATCCCAGCTGAAATTTAGGGTGCTCAGAAGATGCCAGGTTGACTAGCTTGCATTTTTGTTGCATGAAAGAAAGAAATTGAATGAAATACTTGGTTTTTGAACCTGATGAAGGAATTAATTCCACAGTTGGGGTGGAACCAGTCGGACGACACTCGAGAAAAGTCTATTTAAAATGGTTTTGTCGGTTGCAGTAATCCTTTCCTTCCAATCCCACCAAAACCAGACTAATAAACTGAACCATCATGGGAGTAGCATTGACGCATTTGTAGTTCTGACAAGGAGAATTTAAAGTTATTCACCCTCATTTCTTCCAGCAATATATATTTGATTTAATGCATTTCTAGTTATATTACTGTCAAAAAATTCAGATAGATGGCGGAAGATGCAAAAAATTATATATTTCTTCTCTTCCTTTCCTGCAAGCTAACTCCAAGGCTACGTTGGATTTCAAGGAAATGGAGTATTCAAGTTATGAAAAAAAGGAGGCCTGACTTTTTATAAGTTTACACACCCAATTTGAGAACATGAGCAGATTTTTCAGGGTTTTATTGCATAGCACGCGGTGAATGCGAACTGAGATATTGTGTCAAAAGAGGAAGTAGAATTGGAATTCATTTCGTTAAACTTTAAAGGCTCTGGCTAATTATGCATACAGAAAGGTAGGGAATAATGGAATATATTGTACAGACAGGAAAAGAGAACAATTGCAAGACAATAGAAGGACTATCTTCGTATGAATTAAATATAAGGAAATGAAACATTAAGAATGCTGAGAAAAATCTTATAAAGTTACGATTAGAAGAAAATTGAGATAAACTTGTAGTAAACTAGAAAATAACAAGATCAAAATAAAGGCGACGCCTGACTCAATGCCTTATCGAGGACAGATAAAATGGCTCGAAAGGAATCGGTAACCGAATTATAATCAAAACTCAAACCAATACGAATTCGTCCTGTTTATTCTACCAGAGAAATCAGTTGGACAATTTGAAAGCTTAGCGCACAGGGGAATTAGGCTTAAGAATAAATTCAATCTTGCTTTTTATGTCTTGATATGATGAAGATGTATTGTTATTTCCCTTTTTTTGTTTTCTTCTGAAATACCTTTATATTCTTTATTTAACTCCTTTGCGACGTCAAATTCTATTAAGCTTGACACTCTCGTATGAGCATATTTAATTAAATTTTGACTTGTTGC